CTACAAACATCCATCGAAATCTATCATGAACTTTTATCAAGCGGACGTCTTTGTTGTGATGTTTTCTGTCACCATCGAGAGAGAAAAAAAAACTTAAAAAAAAATTGAAACCTTATATCCTTTGTGGTAAACATGTTTAACATGACAATCGTCTGGACATCATCTTGAACCGAGATTCGATAAGTAGTGTGATAAATAGATTAATGCTTTCAGATGTTTAAATGACATGGAAACAGAGCTTGATATTTGATGTTCTGTGTGAGCAAAGGATCTTGTAATAAGGCTTTTTAATAAAGATGTTTTGTATGGACAAGAAGTTCTGGAACAAGTCTTTGATAATAGATGAGATATATTGAATAAGGCTTTGAGACCCGATATTATGCGAATACAAGAGTTATTAGGATCAGGCTTTGCTATTTGTTGTTCTAAGTGGACAAATTGTGTGTTGGAACATACTTATCTTTGAAACGCTTTGGTTTGTATTTACAAACCCATTGGAACATGACTTTGACAGCTAATATCCGAACTGGACAAGGTTAATTTTTAACATTTTAACATCCTGATATTTTGTGCCGAAATCTCATCGAATCGTTTATCTCCTCTGGTGCAAACAGAATAATCCATATTCTTCTTGAATGGATTTAGGTAACACATGCACAGAACAACAGCAACACCGTAATTTGTGTATCATTTTATCAACATACCATTATACAACGTCATATATATATGTTCAGGTCATCAACAATCTTTGAATCATACTTATCAATAATCTAACAAACTAACAAAGAATGTTATTAACAAATGAATTATCATTTTAAATCGTCGTCATTTTTATGAAGCCATATAAATAATCATAATGCGTATTACTTTCCATCACGACGTTACTGATACATACAGTTCACCCTCGTCATGCGCAACATCTGTACAACGTAAAAGTAAACATCCATATTCAAACCACAAGTACAACAGAAACACGTATACCTCACTATTCATTTCACATTAGCATTTTACATACCTTATTATTTATATCATCATCTATACATCTTAGATATCACGTTATTCATCACACCAACAACATAAACATACCTGGAATAACTCAATATTCACATCACTCTGACATATCAATCATCATACATCACCCTGACATATACATCATCTTACATCACCCTGACATATACATCCTCACCCTGACATATACATCCTCACCCTGACATATACATCATCTTACATCACCCTGACATATACATCATCTTACATCACCCTGACATATACATCATCTTACATCACCCTGACATATACATCATCTTACATCACCCTGACATATACATCCTCACCCTGACATATACATCATCTTACATCACCCTGACATATACATCATCTTACATCACCCTGACATATACATCATCTTACATCACCCTGACATATACATCATCTTACATCACCCTGACATATACATCATCTGACATATACATCATGACATATACATCACCATCACCCTGACATATACATCATCTTACATCACCCTGACATATACATCATCTTACATCACCCTGACATATACATCATCTTACATCACCCTGACATATACATCATCTTACATCACCATGACATATACATCATCTTACATCACCCTGACATATACATCATCTTAAATCACCCTGACATATACATCATCTTACATCACCCTGACATATACATCATCTTACATCACCCTGACATATACATCATCTTACATCACCCTGACATATACATCATCTTACATCACCCTGACATATACATCATCTTACATCACCCTGACATATACATCATCTTACATCACCATGACATATACATCCTCACCCTGACATATACATCATCTTACATCACCCTGACATATACATCATCTTCATCTTACATCACATATACATCATCCCACCCTGACATATACATCATCTTCACATCACATCCATCACCCTGACATATACACATCTTATGACATATACATCATCTTACATCACCCTGACATATACATCATCATATATCACCCTGACATATACATCATCTTACCACCCTGACATATACATCATCTTACATCACCCTGACATATACATGACATCTTACATCACCCTGACATATACATCATCACCTGACATATACATCATCTTACACATATACACATCCATGACATATATCTTACATCACCCTGACATATACATCATCTTACATCACCCTGACATATACATCATCTTACATCACGTTGACATATACATCATCTTACATCACGTTGACATATACATCCTCACCCTGACATATACATCATCATACATCACCCTGACATATACATCATCATACATCACCCTGACATATACATCATCTTACATCACCCTGACATATACATCATCTTACATCACCCTGACATATACATCATCTTACATCACCCTGACATATACATCATCTTACATCACCCTGACATATACATCATCTTAAATCACCCTGACATATACATCATCTTACATCACCTGACATATACATCACATCATCATCTTCACATCACCCTGACATATACATCATCATCTTACATCACCCTGACATATACATCATCTTACATCACCCTGACATATACATCATCATACATCACCATGCCATATACATTATCTTACATCACCCTGACATATAAATAATTTTACATTACCCTGACACATGTATTTAAACCTAAAAAAAATATTTACACGACATGATCACATGCAGCCTTTTCGAATATATAAACACATTTACATAATTTTTTTTTCTGTTTCATAAATGAAATACGATTGGTAATTTATCAGTCAATATTTCTCGATTTGGAATTTCTAGGAGAAGAATATTGAACATAAAAAGAAATATTCAGATATAAATGCACCATCATTAAAATTGTTATAAACATGAAAAAAAAACCAAATCATTGCTGGTCGTTCAGAAGCAGTCATATCAATCTCCTTATGTGATATAAAAAAGTTCATTGTCTTTGATAATTGCGTCAACATATGACGTTACAATCAGTTCCTATGTATTTATTGAATTATTGTGCTATTGTTCAGTTCCCATAGCTGACATACCCTTAAAACTGGAAAATAAGACAATTGTTTTAATAGTAAGCAAATGCCAGTTTGTTTATCATGTTAGACAGGTTTGTTTTAAAAAAAAAGTTCATTTTTTAGGTCAGCATATTTTCTAATTTTAACGGTATAACGTATAAAACATTGAAAAAATCCGGATTTGATAAGGGGCAAGTTTAAAAAAATATATGCCATGGATTCTATGAGGAAATGTATTACGAAAATTAGGTGGTCTCAGAAGTAAATACGTTTTGTTCACAGACATGATAGATAAGGACCTTTCTATGAATTGTCTCCATTTTATTTTTAGAAAAACAATAACAAACAAAAGACAAATGGGTCCCAAATCGATGACGTGTACCTCACCTTACAAAGAAAGTTCAGTCGGTTCATGGTCAATCGATTGAGTAAAGAGAACTAAATCAAGGTAAATCGTCATTGGAGCGCATGATTTATCCAAATATCAGTACACTGGGCAGTCTGGTGTTTGACAAAAATGATTAGAACATTTTGAGATATTTGACCCTTGGGACCTTTAAAGTAGGTCAAAATCTTCCTGTTGAACGGACATGGTAGTTCTTCATAAGCTCGAATATGAGTACTTCGAACCTTTTAGTCATTGCCTAGAAGTTATATTTATAACATTTTACCCATGAGATCGTGAACCATTTGAACAAACATGGTAACAGGAAACGAGTACCCCCAGTATTATATTTATTGAGAAGACGTTTAAATACAAAAAGTGACGCTGCATCACGACATTAACTCACTTGACATGCGGACAGGTGAGCTAAAACCAGTTCCGAAAATGAGTAATGAAATTTATATTTATATTAAGTATGACGAATATAAACGTATGTTCAAGATTTAAGGATATTTATACCTAGCATTGAAATGCTCTTGCACATTTAATAAATTACTTGTATATCATAATTTATATCCGTTAAGTAGCTCTCCACGTTAAAGCATTGGAATCCTTTTGCACATGAAAAACGTTCAATATCAAATTTAATTAATTACTTGTAAATCACAATTTATATCCGTTAAGTAGCTCTCCGCGTCTTGAATGCATGCATTATGCATGTCGTCATACTTTTTCATATATTCCTGGGTGCATAGGAATGTTAAGTCAAATGGGGGGAGGGGCAGCTCTCGGTTATTCTTGAATTATCAAGAACTCAAAACAATTACAACAGAAAAGAAAGATGGCTTACATCCATATGTCTTCAATTAAGCTCATAATTTCTGTTTGAAATATTCTTTTTATCTCCGATGAGATAATTAACTGTGGGATACCTAACGTACATTAGTACGTTAATGGCCTGTGAGTACTCATTGATGGTTCTTCGTTGTTGTCAGTCGTGTGTGTAATACTGATGTCACTAGAAATTACATCACTATATAGAATCAACCATAGAAACATTGTACCACATTAAAGGATAAACATATTGATAATGACAAGGCGTGTTTTGTGATTAGAGATCGCTTGTGAAATTTGTTAATTGGTAACGATTTCAGAATACTGCTGTTAATGACGTCAAACTAATTTTGCTCAAGAATTCAGCATAATTGAAGACATTGTTTTGACATCAGTGTAATGTTGTAAGTGACATCAATACGGTGTTTCAATAATGGTATGATTTAGTAAATGACGCCAAAATGATGCGATAATGTCAATGTGATGATGAAATTGACGTCATTATGAGATTGTAAATACCGTTATTTTGATGTGTTCCTCTTTCTTAGCGGACAATGAAGCCACTGGCTGTTTATAAGCATCCAATACTACGATTTTGATGCTATTTGTACACATTCAACAGTACTGATGAAGGCATTTTAATATCCATCACTCTTTCTATCTGACAGAAATGTGTCAGTAAGCACCCTCTTGTAGTGACATATGTGACGTCACAGTCTGACGTCATGCTACTTCCCGTTAGATATAGATAATCTGATATCCCGTTTGAGTTCGATGCTGACCACCTTGGAATTACTGGCAGACAAGAGCACTCCTTTTGCACTAGATGTCCTTTCAAGACGTAACTGCGACTTCCGACAACATATTCGATACTTGATAGATTTGATCATAAGTATGAGGCTGCTCTGAAAATGTTTACCATATAAAGCATACAAAAAGAAGTTGACACTGAATGTTGAGTAATAGAGAAGTTGAGTGATTTCCTGAAGGAGGTAGTGGATCATTGTGATATCAGTCTGTTGCTGAGTTGTTGTGTAAATAATGAGCGTGTACAATCGTCGCACGTGACTCGGTAAATTGAGCACCAGGAATGTTGTGGATACCAGCACGAGTGTTCTTGTTACACGCATCTGAGGCTTATTACGTAATGCTCTGCTTTTACTTCTGGAAAATGAAGAATTGAACGAGTCATTTGGTTTCAAACAATGTTTCCGTTTCCGGTGAAAGGCAGCTGCTTTACAAACAACTTTTATATTCATAAGAAGAATGAGCAGGAATGGTATGATCATAGTAATAATTGTGTCTATCCAAGTGACCTTTTCCAGCAAGTTTATGTACTGGAATTTGTGACCACATCGATATACTCCATTTAATTCCACAACCGATGTAGTCCATAGGGCATAGTTATATAACACTCCCCCCATCACCGCTAGAAATATCACATAAATCTTTTCACGAAATCGTGAGCACACAATTGGAGACCGGAATGGATGGCAGATTGCAATGTATCTTTCTGCTGTAAAACCAACCACATACCATATCGAGAGAAAGCTTGTCACATACGTTACATAGACCAGTAGCTGACACAAACTTTCGGTCCTAATGATGTTTGAAATACTACCGTCAAACCAAGTTGTGAATAACGCTATGAGGAAAACGTTGTCGACAAACGCTAAAGTTGCCAGGAATGCTGTTGCAGATGATTTTTTCATATGCGTGGACATAAATACTACCATGGTAACTGTATTCCCAGTAAGTCCTACAATAACGATGATTGGGAGGAAAACGTTCCGCAGTGTGCTTGCCGTTTCGTACAATCCTTTGTTATCCATAGGCATGAATGAATCGGATTCCTGTGAGAAATTGTCCCACAGCGGATGATCCATATAGTGTTCGTAGTCTACATATGTAATACTGTGGTTATCTGGCGTCATGTCCATCTGAAACAAAAATCAACAAAGATGATTAAAGACAAAAACAGACCTCACAAAATGTACCATATTTTACATCAAATAGTGTAAGGTGTATCAAATGGAGATCACCAGGTTGTCACAGATATGTGTTACCCTAAGGCTGTACACATACAGGTGTATTCTCCATGTTATAACATTAAACATATTAAAGGTTACACACATAAAAAGGTCACAAATGAGACAAGGCTATTTCTTCTCTCACACTTTAAAATCTTTTGTTATTTTGTGAGTTGGAGCCAGTTTTGTTAAAAGTAAGAGTGGACTTTGTCCGATTGTACAGTCTGTATTTCCATAAACTACTCACCAATCAATTCGTCTTTATATAGAGCTGGTAGGTAGTACTGTTTGATTTCATCCTAATGGTTTTAACGATAAAATGGAATAAGTGGTCCTCGACACAAACATTAGTCACTTTTTCATACATTAATAATTGTTTGATTTTCTCATTATCTCTTTCCTCTTGTTTTCCGGACATATTTCTTTCATTGCTTCTATTTGTACAAAAAAAAAAAAAAAAAAAATTAAAATCAAATGGGATAATTTAAAAACTAGAAAAGCTAAGAACTGTTTTATTTAATAGTCTATTACTTTCAGTTCCTATTTCACTTTGTATTCATAAGTACTTGAATGTGCTAAAGATTCCACTTATTTTAATAGAAACACGTATTTTTTGTAATGACTAAAAGGGAAGAGAGGATGAAAAACGGTCAGCAGTTTTCACGGGAATATGCTAAAACTTTCTTCTATTTTTATTTTGGCGCAATACATTTAGAGCCAGAACTAGTCCTATTAGATAAGAAACCATTCCATGCACATCCCTTCGCCCGAATTTATATTGTATCATTTTGTCGTGATAATTAGTTAATGTAAATGCGATTGAAAACAATTAAGGCAACGAATTGTGCAAACATGCAACTAAAACCCAACATGACAACATAATTATAATTCAAACTAAAATTCCATAAAGCTAAGGCAAAACATGAACAAAAGAAAGATTTACACGGAGATGCCTGAAAACGTACAAGGAAAATAAGACCAGGTGTTCCGGAAGAGTAACCATTTTCTGTTTCATGGACGACATCCGCCATGTCAATCTTGGCCAAACCAAGTATGTAGTGTCAAGTTCTCAAATGAGAACAATGTATACAACAATGGAACCATCAGGTAAATACGTCAAGCTTCGAAGAAATAGATTATTTCTCATTGAGATCACTATGGCGACCAATACTAGAATCTCTGCTACCAAATCGTGAAGTGAATTGCAGCTTAAAATTATTTGATATTTCGAGGACTCGTCACTAATGATAAGGGCCTAAATCGGAAAAACAGGTGTCGACTGTGGAAAATCTAATTGGACAAGGACATTTTTGACGTAGTCAAACAGCAATTACATACGTAGTTAGTGGTAGTTTCTATTGTACGTTTACGGAAGGTGTTGTTATGTTTATTTATATCTATAACTCTGTGGCTGACTAATGTGTTGTTATGTTTATAACTCTGTGGCTGACTAAGGTGTTGTTATGTTTATAACTCTGTGGCTGGCTAAGGTGTTGTTACGTTAAAGGATATTTATAACTCTGTGGCTGGCTAAGGTGTTGTTACGTTAAAGGATATTTATAACTCTGTGTCTGGCTAAGGTGTTGTTACGTTTAAGGATATTTATAACTCTGTGGCTGGCTAAGGTGTTGTTATGTTTATAACTCTGTGGCTAGCTAAGGTGTTGTTACGTTTAAGGATATTTATAACTCTGTGGCTGGCTAAGGTATTGTTACGTTTAAGGATATTTATAACTCTGTGGCTGGCTAAGGTGTTGTTACGTTTAAGGATATTTATAACTCTGTTGCTGGCCAAGGTGTTGTTACGTTTAAGGATATTTATAACTCTGTGGCTGGCTAAGGTGTTGTTACGTTTAAGGATATTTATAACTCTGTGGCTGGCTAAGGTGTTATTACGTTTATGTGCATTTATAACTCTGTGGCTGGCTAAGGTGTTATTACGTTTATGTGCATTTATAACTCTGTGGCTGGCTAAGGTGTTGTTACGTTTATCTTGAAGTGAACCACGCTCACATGAAATTTATGTTAAAGAAATGAGATAAACATTACAGTAAAAATAATTAAGTGTTTGAAATCTTATTAAAGAGCGCCATCTGTTGGGCACAGGAATGATAGATATCCAAGTTTTGTGTACTTCTACATTTCCCTGTAATCAAATTCTATTATACTTTTCGTCTCAGACTGAAATGTTCAGTGACAACAATATGGTTTTAGGCTCGGATACAGCCATACTCTCTAATCTTTCTCATCTTTTTTGTTTGTAATTCCGCGAGTTCCGGTACTATTAAACTTTATAATTTAATTTTGAATCCTCTCGGGCGGGCAAAGGTAAATGATAAATGGAAGAAGAAGATCAGTTTAACTGTTAAGTAATAAAATGAATGCATTTTAACATAGCATCATCGATGGATTAAAGAAGGATGAAACAACTGTATGTAACACTTTCTTCATTCTATGACTTGTATCTTATTGTAATTTGTATTGAAAGGTGCGATTCGTTTTTGTGTCTTTTGATCATTGGTTCATCAGATTAACTCCCGTGATAGGCATACGTCAAAACAATACAGGCATTCCGGTATGTGTACCTAATAATAAATTCATACTTCAAGCAGTATTCACATGTGTTTGTTCTGTATAATCCTTTGATTTTCGTCTTGTTTATGCTAACACTCTCTGAGAGCAAATATAAGAAAAAAAAATGGGAAGTTACTAAAACGATTTCTTGTGTAACGTTTAGGTGTTTTGTGTAACTGAAAGGCGTGGTTGAAAGCTGCATCAAATCTAGAGTACACTCTATATGAGCAACATCATGTTGACGTCATTAACAACGAACGCACTTAATATACCAATATCTGGTCAAATAGTGTCTCAACAATATCATAGATATGCCATAATATCTGGTCATATAGTGTCTCCACAATATCATAGATATGCCATAATATCTGGTCATATAGTGTCTCCACAATATCATAAACCTGCCATAATATCTGGTCATATAGTGTCTCCACAATATCATAGATATGCCATAATATCTGGTCATATAGAGTCTCCACAATATTATAGATATGCCATAATATCTGGTCATATAGTGTCTCCACAATATCATAAACCTGCCATAATATCTGGTCATATAGTGTCTCCACAATATCATAGATATGCCATAATATCTGGTCATATAGTGTCTCCACAATATCATCAACCTGCCATAATATCTGGTCATATAGTGTCTCCACAATATCATAAACCTGCCATATTATCCGGTCATGTAATAATATAATGGACCAATCAATACCTGGTCCTCCTTTCTCGTTAAATTGTTGGCTCTCTGGTTGCATGTCTAGCTCTCATGTAAGTACATGACATAATTTACTTGGATTGACCAAGATTTACATATCGCAGAGGTCGTTGATGAAGCAGAAGACGCTTACTCTTTCGGAACCCCTGGCCTTATTCTCCTTATACTTTATCAGGAGTCTCGGTGTAAATCTTTCTTTTGTTCATATTTTGCTCTAGTTGTGTTGAATTTGTAGGTATTTTCCAGATCCCTTGTTAAGTCAGATCTTACGATCATGGATGCAGGTAGGTAGAATATACGTGAAGGGCAGACATTGAACTCTCATTTATAAAACAGACGAATACATTAGTTTGACCAACATACATAATGAAATCGATATATCGCATAAAATGCTGTAAATGCTAAGAATTTGTCAAAAATCTTTCGGATCTCCATATATTTTGTAGTCGACATGGGAGACTTGAGTCCTGTGATTAAATTTTATCATTATTGTGAAATATTGGATGTGTATATATATATGTCATATTTTGAACTACAAGAGACCTCTTATCATTGTAGTAATTAAATTAAAACTTTATTTGTTTACAACAATTGTGAAACAAGTTATTTCAACTAACATTAAGCACCCTTACTGTGGGAGGAAACCGGAGTACCCGTGGAAAACCAACATGGTCGGACAGGTGACCCCAACATTTTCACGTCTTTTCCGGGAATCGAACCCCGGACGGCAAGGTGAAAGGCAAGTGCGCTATCAAAGACCGGAAATGAATCATCCTTACATACAGAAGAAACAAAAATACATTTATTTACTGAAGACCCAATATCAGTCATTAATCAGATATACTGAATCCTGAATATGAATACCGAAATATGCCTGACGCTGATATACTATATACTGACGTAAACAAATAGTAGATCTCCTCAGACACCTAGATTTGTTGACATTAGAAGTTCTGGACCTGTGTCGATGATGGATTGGGGCTGTCATGTTATACACCATTTGATGATTGAAAAAAGTATTTGGATTTTGCAAAAATCATTACACAATCTCAAAAGAACAGTTGCCTGGTTATAGAAGGTTACGGAGATGGAAATCGGTATTGACTTTCCATTTAAATGCGGAAACAATACACAGAATATAGAGCATTGTCATTTCACTCCAACAATAATAACACATTCTATGGGGAAATTCAGCCGTGGAGATAGTATCGTTATTTGAAAACATCCATTCTTAATTACGCAGTTCTGCGATTGGAATTTGGACACAGCGGTAAAAAGCGAATTCGCATGCAGAGAACATAATCAGATAAACATGTGATTAAAATGTCAACAACTCCGCCTGGCACAATGCAGTCACACCTTGAGGACGACGTGCTAGATAGAGGTAACACTTGTCGTTTGACCATAAATACTGACAACAACGGCTTAATTACTCTTAGTACGAATAAATACCTTACCATCTAAACTGACATCCACAAGCGAATCATTGCCAAATGAAGAAATAACAGGCCTTCATATTCTTACATTGCTATTTTTTTTATCACCATTGGGTAAACATTTGCGCGAGGTGATGTTGTTCCGAAGAAAACAAAGTAGTACGGCCTTGAGAGCATAAT